TTGTAACAATATGCTTTTGTTATGGAATTATTTGATGAAAATTTTTTTTATCTAGAAATGCTGCGAATTTAGCATGCTTCCAGAATGGATCAGTGAGAAACTCTGCAGTAAGATGAAACCGTCAAAAAACGATGTATTTGTTATAGAGGAATTTAAGGGAGATTTGTTTAAGATGTTGAAAAACTTTAAGTGCTCGTAAGTTTGCAGATTAATTTTTGCTTAGTTTAAAATATAAATAATATCTATATATATCTATATTATAACAGCAAATATATATCTTCAATATCTATAATATTAATTAAGAGTATGTAGACAAAGAAATTTGTAACCTCTAATTTCTATTTCAGCAGAATAGTATCTCCAAAATGTTTACTCATTTGTTTTATGAATGGAGAACCAATTCCAGAAGGAACAAGCCCGATATATACAACATCTATGAGAGGAATGTGTATTTGTGCATCAGGTTTTAGTACAGAAATTAAGGTATAATTAGTAGCAATTTTATCTGGGTAAATATTAATTGTTTGATGATAATTTTCATTATTATTACAGGATCAGATACAACAAAAAGTCGAATATATGGGAGGTTTTTTTACAAAGCAATTAAGAAGTTCCGTCACACATTTAGTAGCAGATTCTGTGATGTCTGCAAAGTATGAGGTATAATTTTATTTACATTAATTAAAGCTTTAAATAAGTCCACAGAAATAAATACAGAAAATTTTGTTATGTAAAAAATTAGCGGTAAAAATTGTTATGTAAAAATTTTTTTATGTAAAAAATCTTTTATGTGAATTTATTAAATGTCATTAAAAAAATATATATTTTAATAACAATAAATTGATATAAAAAATACAATTTTACACACACATACACATATGTATGTATATGTACAACTTTTAAGCCTTTGTTTTTATACATTATAAAAAGATTTCTAAGAAATTATTAAAATTTTAATAAAATTTATATTATTTAAGTTGTAATGCAATGGAATAAATACAATATATTTAAAACTCTATTGTTTTTAGGCTGCTATAGAAATGAAAATACCAATCATGACGAAACAATGGATAGAAGCTATTTGGGAGGCAAATTTGAAAAAAGTAATTAAGGCAGATGATAAGATTTTTAATAAATACAAATGTCCAGTTTTTATGAATCTAATAGTTACTTCAACAAATCTTCCGAAACGTCAGAAAGAAGAGATTAAACGTTTGATACACGATTATGGAGGAGTGAGTTGGATCTTATATAATATGTATGGCAATGATAGAGAGTTTAGTAATCAATTTGGATTTAATGTTGTACTTGCTTTATAGATATTCATGGGTCCTCTCGACGGAACAAAAGTTCGAGTAGTTTTAGCTTCTGAAAACGGCCCCTTGAGCGATAAACTAAAATACGCTATGGAAAATGATATTGCATGTCTCAGAATCGATTGGGTATATGAAAGCATTAAAGTGGGATATGCTTTACCTTTCCGTAACTTTATTATTAAATCTGTAAAGGCGTGTTCAACACCGGAAAAACCTAATAGTATGATAATAGTTATTATTTACCAAAAATATTAATTATTTTAATATGGTGAATGAATAGACTGACTAATTAAAATTTTTTATGTATTTTTTAGTTCGAGAATCGCTTAACTGTTCTGAAATTAGCTCTATAGCATTTGATAAACCTCCCAACAATTATGTAAACGAGACTCTTAGTTCGACGATATCAAGTTTTGCTAATTTAGATGCAGCAATTAGTAAATTTTCCGGTGGTAAGCGTTACTTAATATATTTTAAAAATACAATTTGTTTTTCAAATAAAAATACATCTGTATTTCCATGTATTTCATGTAGTCGCCAAGTTAAACGTTTTGGATCGATTCACTTTCGGTGAAGCAAAATTAGCTGGACCTTTTTTGGATGGATGTAATGTAAATTTTTCTTAGAATTTTTATAATATGCGTTACGTTTTCTTTTTTTTCAATATCAATTTTTTGATTATCTTGTCTTTACAGATTTATCTTACTGGATTTGCAACAACTGTTAGAGATAAATTAAACAAAATATTAAACATTGGCGGTGCAACGCGTCTTGATGAAATATCAGATTCTGTAACGCATGTGATTGTTGGCGACGCAAGTAAAGCATCTACAGAACTGAAAATGATAAAATCAAGAGGTTTATGGTATAGAAATAACAAATAAATAAGGCTTTATAATATTTGTATTAAAACTTTTTTATATACAATTGCTTATCAATACAAGAAAAATATTAAAGAAATTCTCTTAAATACGAATATAGACTCCATGTTTAAGTTTCACAAGTTAATTACATACATAGATATTATATAATCTATGTAGATAAATGTATATTTTTATTAGTCACATTTTTAATTTATATATAATTTACAATTCTATTTTAAACAGTCCTTATATATTGAAAGTGGAATGGCTGGAAAAGAGTATGAAACTGAAACGACCTGCGTCGGAAGAACATTTTTTGTTTGAAGTCAAAGATGGAGTATCTAAGAATAATATCGGAACACCTGCTTCACCACTCAGTAAAAAGGTATACTTAATAAAATTAATGATTTAAAATTTATATTTTCAATTTCACGAAATGTAGATATTTCATTAATATTTTCCTGTAGTATTTTTTTTCGTGTTTTTATAATTTTTATATTTTTTTTGACAAAAAATTCTTATAAGAAATAATTTCAAATTTTGAAGGTATATTTGGTTATTTTTAATGATATTGTTAACAATTAGAGAGGATAGATTTATTTATTTGTTATTAAAATTATTAATATTATGAAATTGTAACAATTATTGTACATTTGCATATGCAAATCGATATATTACGGAATGTATATTTGCATTTTAGAATTTACAAATGTTACAACAACCAAAAAGACCTCCCGTACCACCTTTCAATTTAAATAAAGAGATTGCACCTGTGAATGAAGATCAACAATCTGATCTCGTACAGCAATATCTGCAAGAAACTAGTGGTAATTGTATAATTAGTGAATTGCTTTCTCAATAAATTTATATTTATATTTTCAAGCACAAATTTATACTGTTATACTGTATATTACTAATTAATTTTGAATGAATATATTACTAATTAATTTTAAATGATTCATTAATATTTTCCTGTAGTATTTTTTTTCGTTGTTTTTATAATTTTTATATTTTTTTTGGGCAAAAAATTCTTATAAGAAATAATTTCAAATTTTGAAGGCATATTTGGTTTTTATGATATTTTTTAATGATATTGTTAACAATGCATCATTCTATTAAGAAAAGTAAAAGCATTTAAAAATTTATAATCAAGAGCAATAAATTAGTGCTTCATTATAATTATGAATAATTGAATTATAGATCATAGGAGTTTAATGCAGGAATTTGCTAAACCCAGTACTATTTTGGAAAAAGATGGAGACAATTTAAGTATGAAAAGTACACATAGTAATGATATTTGTTCATCAAATACTACGCAAAATAAAAAAAGTATGGAAAGTGATAATACTGTGTTACTTAGCCAAACAATAAACGAAAAATTACTTAAAGGTATAATGAGAGCCATTTTTATTTTTATACTTCTAATGTTAGAATCATCATCTAAATCATCTAAAATATCTATTCTTCTATTTTATTATTATTATGTGTTTATATGTTTGTACAGTATGAATATATGATTAAATTTTGTATCTATCTAATTTTCAATAATATCAATAAAAGATATTATTGATATTAAAAATATTGATATTAAAAATTAGTCTCTTATTAAATATATTTGATATAGTAATAATTTTGTAAGAAAGAGACTTCTTTAATGGATTTTTTTTAAATAATTTATAATATTTTTTTATAAGATTATTTTATAGAGAAAATAAGGGCTTTCTTTTATAAATGTTATAAATGTTATAAATGTTATTAATTTAAATATCTATACGAATCTTCTTAAATGTAATAGTATAATTATATGTGCAGATTTAATGTTTGTCGTGACTGGTTTTGATAGCGAGGACAATCATGTAGAAGAGACGATTGTAATGTTGGGTGGACGCTTAGTCTCGAAAACATATATTGGTATTCCAGATTACGCTATCGTTCCTGTGGATGGAGCACCTTTAAAACATACGGTCAACGAAATCGTAACCGACTTATTTATTGTAAGTATTCTTTATCAATTTCGTGTTTTCTTTTTAAACACGAAAGTTTAATATTCGTATCTTTTTTAAAATTAGAAAATAATGTATTAGAAAATGTATTAAAAAATTTTAGAATGTTAAGAAAACTATTTTTTAAAATATGAAACAAAATTTTCTTTGTTATTTATGCATATAGTTTATAATATTATTCATTTACAAATAAATAATTATAATTCTGTGGTAAAGATCAATTTTATAATAAATAAATTTTATGTATAAGTATTTTCAATGTCACTGGTAATATCTATTAATTTTTGATTTTCATATTTATCAATAGGAAGATTGTATAAATCAGGAGCAAATTGTCGACATCATGTATTATCACAGGCCAATATTTCTTAGAAAACTTTGTAATCCGTTGTCGGGATGCGTAATAACAATGAGCATGTATACTGGATCCGAACGAATATACCTTTCAACATTGGCTATGAAACTAGGCGCTGTGTAACGTATATTTATTATGTACAATTACGTCCAGAAAGATCGAAAATCATGCATTACAGTCTATTTATAATTTTATATGCAGGATGTCTCAATTTAAATAATGATCTTAACAATCTCTTGAACATTTTATACATTTTAAAGAAAAAATTTTATGTAAAAGTTGTAGGATTTCAATGGGGTTACATAATTAGAATAGTGGATTAAGAGATTAACAGTTATCAAGAAATGAATAGTTTACGAAATATGTTATATTTTATGTTAGAATATGCGAAAATAAAACATAAAATACATATAATAAATTATATATATAATAAATATATATACAATAAATTATTATATATATATTATTATTATATAATAAATTAACATTTTTTTTTATTTGTATCTTAATTAGTACCTTACTTTTTTATCCAGAATAACTAGAGGAATCATATTATATAACAAAAAATATATAATTTTATTTAAGAAATGGCAATCATAAAAAATCTTGATAATGGATACAAATAAATCAATATCGTAATCATATAGTCCCCTTGAAATCTTATAACTTTTATGTAATTAATTTTATGTAATATATATTAACTTATAATATATATATATATATATATATATATATATATATAATAACTAATATATATATATATATATATATATATATATATATATATATATTACTATTGTAACGGAGCGCATCCGTCCGCTCCGTCCTCCTCCGATTTCTCCCGACCGACCATCCGTCGGGAATCGCCGAACAACAGG